CCCTTCTCGCTGCGTTTGGCACGAGCAAGAGAGAGTGAAGAGAGAGCAACGAGGCGGGACAGGAAAGAGGCAGCTCCGAACGAAGAAAGATTGAAAACTCCATGGCGTTGTCCGCCACGAGACAAGACATTCGCCCGCTCGCTCGCTCGCTCGCCCCAGCCGGCCAGTTATCGTGAGGTGGGTCCCGTCCGGACGACCTGAGTCGAGGGCGTTTGAGCAACGAGACCCGGCCGGCCGAGGCAAAAGTGAGGCGGAGTGGAGACGAGAGAACAGACGGATCGGTAGTGCAAACCCCAGATTTTTGGCGCCAGAGGATGATTTACAGCCAGGAACAGGAGAGATATGGATCCAGGAGCCAGCCTTGCCGACGGGCTGGGGTGATGATGAGAGCAAGGAGAGGGAAGGCTCCACCAGGACCAGGACCAGGACCAGGACCACGGCGGCACCGCCGAGCGGGCGGGGGCTCCCGCGGCGGGCACGGCACGGCGGGCACCACTTCACGATCCTGATCCGTGCGTAGGGTTTAGGGCGTTGGCGTTGCGGACGGGAGTGGGTGAAGAGTGGGTGCCTGCGTGTCTGGGCTGAACTGGACCCTGCTTTCGAGCCATGGTCTGTCATTGGTTGCCGCTACCTGCTGCTGTTATTGGCTGTCGAACCCGGGCTGGCTTGGATTGGGAAATGGCCGAGTCCGGTCGATGAATTCGGGGACGACTTGACTTGGTTCTGGACAGTCTGGAAACTGCCGCTTTTCTTTGGCTTTTCTCGGTTTGTCGTCCTACAGCTTCGCGGTCGCGGTCGCGGTCGCCCTCGCCCTCGCCTTTGCCCGCTCTTGTTCCTCTGTTTTCCTCGCAAATGCAATGTTTCTGTCGCGATAGACATTTTCCCATAATTCCAGAACCCCTTCCAGATTTTCTGCACCTTGCTTCTTGTTCAGCGGCTTCAGTCCCTCTCGATATATGAGCTGGTCCATCACGACTTCGAGCACCTGTCCATTCTTTTTCTCCGCTCCGCCGGATGCAAGTCCGAGCAAGTCATCGTACGCCCGCAGCATGGTCGACATGGGCGTCTTGGCATCATTCGGATACCCCTCCATGAGTCCGTCGGGAGCCAGAGCCGTCTGGATCATGTCCGGGCATATGGCATTAATGGTAAAGCCATGCGCCGCAGCGCTCGGTGCCAGTGACCGCACAAGGCCAAGTAGACCGTTCTTGGCAGTTGAGTACTGCGGGACCGAAGGAATCGGGTAGAGCGCGGCCGAGGAGGCAGTGATGATTATGTCCTTGTTTGGGGACGGCGAGAGCGAGGCGTAGTGCGCAAAGAGCTTGATGCCATAGTAGACACCAAAGAGATCCACCTCGAGAGTTTTCATATTGGGCTTGATGGGCGGCGGCGGCGCGGAGGAGCCATTGGTCGACGGAAGCGTGTTGAAAATGTCGTCGCGGTCATCAATGCCGGCGTTGAGAGCGGCAAAGTCGACGCGTCTGCGCCATTCGAATGCGCGGGCAAATGCGCTTGATTGAGAGGACCACGAGGAGACGTCGCATTGGACAAATAGAGTCGCGTCTTTTGGAAGCGAGGCAGAGGCTGGAGGAGGGTTGAGATCGAGCAGAACAACGTGCCATGCTTTGGAGACAAGGTGCTGGGTCAGAGCCAGCCCTATGCCCGAGGACGCACCAGTGATGACGGCGACTGGGTTGGTCATGGTGACAGGTGTGCTTGATATGGCAAGCCATCTTTCTTCGTGTTCTTTATATCTCTGGGGATTGCTGAAATGCGGAGTCAGCCATGCCCCGCATCTTGAGTCGTATGCGGCAGTTCGGGGCACGGCGCCTTGAAGTGGGGAGCGGTTGCGACAGAGCTGGAGATTGGAGCAGCCAAGGTAGTGACTGAGTACCGCAGAAGATGGCAGAGATGCGGTGCACTGGTTGGTCGCCGTGAGCTGCCACGGTCATGCAGAAGACGCGGACACTCGGCCGCCATCGATGGCCGGCTGGCGCTCAGCTTCATCAAAGACGGTTCGGGCTCGGCGCCGCGGGCGCAAAGTTAACCTTGTCGCCAAGATGGATGACGCAGGCCGGCGAAAAGTCATCGCGGACATGAGTGAGGGTTTGATGCTGACAGACATGGACTGGTGTTGTGGCCGCAATATCGGGGCTGAGGCCGTGGCGCTGCGCTGCGCTGCGCTGCCACCCAGCAGCCGGCTCTCGCGGATGGTTTGCTTATTAGGAACGCTATGTACCCGCTGACCACAACACCGCCCGCTCGTCAGCCAACCTCATCCTCAACCTCTCCCATCCCTCGAGTCCTCCCCATATCGCCCTCCCTCTTCACCTGGCCTCCCTCTTGAGAATGCCGCTCGGTATCCACAACCCTCTGCCCTCGTCTGTCGGCAGTAAGTTCTTCTCCCCAACCCCCGCCGTCCGCGGCCGCCTCAACCGATGACGTCGCCCCACGCTGACGCCTGAATCTGCATTGCAGGTGAAATCAAGAAGACGGGTAAAATCCTCGCCTCCTTCGTCGACCCCCGCCAGTCCTTTGGTCCAGATAAGATCATTCCCCCGCAGGTCCTCGCCAATGCCAAAGTATGTCTCACACACCACGCCCCGCTCGACCGCCACGACTCTCGCACCCTTGCACAACACCATAAGCCACGTCTAACATTTGCTCTTTCGGTAGGGTCTCGCAGTCTTGACCGTCTTCAAGGCTGGCTTCCTCGGCTCTGGTCGTTTCGGCTCTGGTATCGTCGTCGCGCGTCTCCCAGATGGCAGTTGGTCAGCGCCGTCCGCCATTGGAACCGTTGGAGGAGGATTCGGTGGCCAGATTGGTTTTGAGTTGACCGACTTTGTCTTCATCCTCAACGATGCCTCGGCTGTGCGAACATTCTCCCAGGCCGGCTCGCTGACTCTGGGTGGCAACGTGTCAATTGCCGCCGGACCCGTGGGTCGCAACGCTGAAGCAGCTGGAGCAGCAAGCTTGAAGGGCGTCGCTGGCGTGTTTGCATACTCCAAAACCAAGGGTCTCTTTGCTGGTGTCAGCTTGGAGGGTAGTGTCCTCATTGAGCGCCGCGACGCCAACGAGAAGCTCTACGGCCGCAGGATTACGGCGCGAAACCTTCTCGAAGGCAACGTCCCAGTCCCTCCGGCAGCCGACCCCCTGATGCGTGTCCTCAACTCGCGCGTCTTTGCCGGCGCAGCTGGTGGAGCTCCTGCGTCAGATTCCATGTACAACGACATGCCCATCTACGACTCTTCTCACGAAGACGTGGTTTGGCAGGGAAACCGAGGCTCAGCATATGGAGAAGGCGTCCGCGGCCACCGCACCGGATCTACCAACAACGAGTTTGGCCCACCTTCTCGCTCGTCTACCTGGACGGATGACGTTTACGACCGCCCGTCACCTCAAAACACTGGCATCAACCGATCCTTCTCTACCCGCGCGAACCCCAACGAAACCTTTGACAACCTGGACAGACGCTCCCGTGCCGTCAGTACTGGCGACTATTATGGAAGCAAAAAGGTCGGCCCAGCCAGGCCAACGGCGCCCAAGCCTCAATTTAGGAAGTCGATGCTGGGCCCTAACCAAGCCATTGCCAAATTCACATTCGACCCCGACCAGCCGGGCGACCTGGGCTTCAAAAAGGGTGACATCATCGAAGTCATCAAAAGGACAGAGAATGAAACGGATTGGTGGACCGGAAGGATCGGAGGCCGGGAGGGAATTTTCCCAAGGTACGCGTCGCTCCCATTCGAGTCATCTGCCAAAATGCTAACACCAGCTGGCAGCAACTACGTGGAAATGGTCTAGGGAAATGGCTCCACAGCGCACCGATTGGTTGTGAAATTCTGCTTGATACCCCAGAGTCTGATTTAATCATCATCCTACCCACCCACCTACCTACCTACCACGGTTCAATGAATGCACAACAAATGGATACATACCAACTGTCGTCTTTGTCTGTCGCACGGGTGAGGCGCTGTTGCATCTTTTTTACCTGCCCCCCCTTTACGAATTCCCTTGATCCACAGCGTCCATTCATAGATCCGGATCTTTTCTCTCGCTGTACATATTGTCCTAGCGCCCCTTTTCCTTTTTCGTTTTGCTCTCGTTGGACTGTGTTTTCCTTGTTTTGCGCGTCAGTTTATACCACGGGGCATAGCAAGGCGTCTCAGTCGCGTCCGGGTCCAGGGGTCTTAGTGTCCTCCTCCTCCTCCTGCATAGCCACACCACAGTGGTGGGTGTCGAAAGAATTGAGACCTTCTGGCGATGTGAGTGCGTTTAAAGATCATTCATTCACCACTATTGTTGCGCTCAGGGAGCAGTCGTTGGTCGGTGCAGCCAGATCCAGGGAGTCTCACTTCTTCAAACACCCACCTTTGTGACACGAATTTTCTATTTCTTTGTCCTTTCTCTTTCTTCCAATCCTTTCGTCTCAAAACTTGCGTCGACGTCGGCGGAACACAAAAATCCAAGCGAACAGATAGGTAGTCTGCCGCAATGGGGGGAAAGAAAGAGAAAAAAAAAATTGTCAACCATTCATGGACGTTACTTGCCTGCCCCTGCCCTCGCTTCTGGGAACCTCCGCGAACTGCGTGCAGCGCAGCTTGATGTGGGTCGCGCGTACTCGAGTTACTTAAGGCACCCAGCTGCGTATCTGAGTGTTCGAAGCATCTCAGTTTCAATGCCATGCTGGTTGGTGCTGGAGCGCGGTGGAGTGTCGTTGGGTTCATGAAAGACTCGCCATTACAATACCGCTTAAACACACACCACCATCAACAGCACTGTGACCACTGCCCATTTCCCCACCACGTCTTCTTCCTCCCTTCCCCCTCACTCCCCCCTCTTCATCTCATCTAACCCTCCCCCTCGACACCCCCAGCTGCTACCATTCCACAACCCACCACCCACAACGTACCCCGCCCCTCTCCCTCTCCCGCTCCAACCCACAAGAACCACACACTTACAGAATCATAAACATTACAATTAGTGCCTTTTTCCACCAAGCAGCGGTAGCTCAGTGGTAGAGTGTAGGATTGCAGCGTCTGAGATACAGCATCCCATCCCGAGGTCCCCGGTTCGATCCCGGGTCGCTGCTCTGATTTTGCGGCAGTATTTTTGGTTGTTTTGTGTGGTTGTTTTGTGTGGTGGGGGAGGGTTGGCTGGGGGTTGTTGTTGTTGTTGTTTTGGGCTTTGAGGTGTTGTGTGGATGGATGGTGGGGTGGGAAGGAGGTGAGCGGGTCTGAAATGGCGGCGGCAGCGGGATGCATTCGATGAGGGGAACAGGAATTAAAGAATGTGTAGGATGCGTTAAATAGAAGTGGTATTGCTCATTTCGCATTGTCTCTCTCCTTTTTTCCTGTTCTCTTTTCGCTTTTGAGCCGAAGACAGGGGAAGACCATATGAAACGACTGATCGATTACTAGCGTCAACATAGTACCATCATGTAGGCATAGAGCGAACGAGTAGGCAAGATACACGGATATAGGCTTGTTAGCATTCTGTCCGGCGGGCAAGGTAGATGGAAGCGTGTCCTGTTTAAGCCATCAACTTGTGATAACAGTACAAGACAAACATGCCTAAGCAGCCAGCAAACGTGAGTGTGTTCATGGCGTCAAAGCAACCAAGACAGAGAGGGGGTCCCTTGCGCACTCACGGGGTAGAATGACCACAAGCCAAGGCGCGACAGCAAGAAAGGGAAGAAACCGCAAATCACCGGGGCAAGGCATATACACGGCACATAACCGGGTAACAGCAGCAATCCTCGTTTATTTTGCGCAAGAAAGATAAATGTATAGACAGGCCCTGAGAAACACCACGTCCTGTTCTTCACCTGGCCATGCATCTACCCACGTCCCCATCTTCACCCACTCAAAGAGAGCATGAAATGGGGACGGACTGCCTGGCTTCTTTCACCCACCCACGTGCAAAGTCGGCGCCCGAGACATGCAACGCGTGATTCAGGAACATGCAGGAAGTAGTAACAGCCCAACGCCAAAAAAAAAAAGAAAAAAGTCGGGAAAAAACCATTCCTTTGACGCGAGTCGATCACTGGAGAAGCGGATCCTGTTGATTGTTAGCCGGGAAATTGTTTTTGTTGCGAGGAGTAGCTAGCTGTTCAGACTTACCCTGAAGTGCTTTTGGAAGTTGCCCTTCTTGTTCTTTGTCCACTCGGCCCGCGCCTGCTCGCGCTGCGCCTTTCTGTTTTCTCTTCGCTCGGCGGCCCTGACTTCTCTCTTTTTGATGTCCGTGACACCGGCCAGGCCCCTCTCGGGACGCGACACGACCTGCCTGTCACGGTTGCGGCCCCTGCCGCGCTCGAGCTGGCTTTGGCCGGGCTCCAATTGGACACCTCCCTCGGCCTCATCGTCGTCGTCGTCCTCGTCGCTAGAAGATGCGTTGCGCATGGCTTGCGCCTCCTCGATGGCCAGACGCTCGGCGCGCTCGGCAGCCGACGGGTAGTTGCGTAGGTTCTGGCGGAAGTAATGGCGCAGCGAGCGGTGTCCGGCAGTGCGGCCCGTCGGGAGGTGCATTTCGTACTCGTCATGGTAGACGGCTCTCGGTCCCGTGTGCGCGTGACTGTGGTATCCGTCAGCCGCCTTGTGGGGGCGCGGATCTGCGTGCGAGTGGTGGCGGTGTTGTCCAAGTTTGGCGTACCGGTGCGAGCGATCATCAATGGGAACAGACGTGATTTCGTCCGTTGGCACATCGGAGACGCTGCTGTCCGTCTCCCAACCATCCTCGCCCTCGCCATCCTCGCCCTCAGTGACAGAGCCTTCCTCGTCGTCGGAATAGGTGCGCGTAAAGTCGTAGTATTCGCCAATCTCAAGCATCTGGTCCTCGTCTTCGTAAGCAATTTTGCAATGGCCGCGGTCTCTCATGTGGGTTTGGATGCCCGTTGCCGTGTAGACGATCTTGTTGCAGTAGAGACACTGGCAGTACTCGTGAATCTTGCGCCAGAGAAAGCGGAGGAGACCACTAAGGTCGTCCAGGTACTCTTGCTCGGGAATAAACAGGCCATGGAAGCGCTGCATATGGCCAAGGTTGAGGTCGCGAGTTGGCGAGCGGAAGTTGCAGAACAGGCAGTCGACAACTTCGGTTGGCGGCTCGATTTTGGCAGATGTGGCGTCGACAGTGACGGTAGCGGTCCTTGACGCTTGCTCTACGTCTTCAGACGAGCCTTCCCCCAGAGAAGCATTTTGAATACCATCCACAACCTCGGATACTTCGGAATCGGTATCTCTGTCTGGGAGCGCAGTCGAAGTGGAGTCTACGGTTTCTCCAAGCGAAAAAGTCGAGCTCATGACTGATGCAGCATCATCATCCCTCCGCGAAGCCCTAGCGACATTTTGACGGTGCTTTTGACTGTTCAAGTGGTTTGCGTAGGCATTTTCGCTGAAGTAGGTCTTTTGGCAAGCGTCGCATGACTTTTCATACTGAGCCCTGGCGGCAGTGGCGGCAGCAGAAGCCTTGTTCGCAAGGACTTTTTCGGCAAAAATTTCGGACGAGAGGGGAGGCAGCGAGGCAACTCTACGCTTCAGGTTGTAGCGGCTTGGAAGGGAGCGGTCAGCGATGGAAAGACAAAAACAAATCTCTAGCGGAAGACCACTCACTGCCAGTCGGTCTGCATGTGGGCGCGCTGCAGTTCGCTGGCGCGAAAGGCGACCTGGCAGGTGTTGCAGGTAAACGGGTGCGAAGACTGATTGGAAGCCATGGCGTCTAGTGGTTGAGCAGAGTTTGGGGTGACGGCGGGAGAGTGGGCGCGGTGGAGGAAAAGTCGTGGTCGGCGACGGCGGTGCTGGAGGGGCCAGCAAGCGAACGGTGAGCCGCGAAAGAGCGGGAGATTGCCACGAGGTCGTCGACGCAGAGCGAGGGCGCGAAGAATTCAAGGGAGAGGTTTGGCGAGGACAGGCGGAGAGCGGTGAGATTATTTCAGGGCCGGCCAGACCTTGTGGCGAGCGCGAGCCGACGATAAGTCCAGCATTAGTGAGTCTTGGTCGGTGCCGGTAGGGCTGAGTTGGTTGCATGACGTCTGAACCCTTGCTGACTGATGCCCTCCGCTCGGTTCCCGTCGCGGCGCATGTTCATCCATCTCCCACGACATACATCTGCGTCGACATCTTCCACCCCACGACCTCTCTCGCTTCGCCTGGCCAGCGCGCCTCCTCTCCCCGACCTCCACAGCTACCAGATGCGATGACGACCGATGCGCGCGGGTCTCCGCCACAACTCTTGGGCGGTACCCAGCAGCTGGCGGACGCTCTCTCAAAGGACCCGTGGCGCCGTCTGCTCGCAAGCTCGCGGGTGCTGGGCTCGCACGAGTTAAGCTTCCGCGACTCGAGTGCCACGCGTCTAGCGACGTTCCAGTCTTTGGTCCGCCGGTATGTTGACCCACCAGCTGCGCGAATGTGCTCCTGACGCGCCGCAAGGTATACTTTGCAGATACGCCATGGTTGCGACAACCCATACTGCACCAAGCCTACTTGCTTCAGCTGCGTCAAGCGCGTCACATCGAAACCTCTCCGACGTCCGACGCCCGTCGCCGCCAGGACTCTCGCATACCACTTGGCAAGTCAGGATGACCCCGAGTCCGGCTTGTGCAATATTGTCGATGGCCCTTCGAACTGGACACATGTAGGCTCTCTGGTGCTGCGCGACGGATGGTCCAGGAGAATAGATCACAGGTCGTTCTTGCAAAATTTGTACAGCACAAAAGTGGCTCGGACATTGAATCAAACTGGCCGCGTTGGGTTGGCAAGTCCTGACAGCGCAACATCCGGAGACCGCGCTGCTAAAATCGAGACTGGATTCGAGTACCTGACGGCGTCTGGTCACGGTACCACAATCACAAGTCGTCCGGGGAATGTGGAAGCCCCACCAAAACCAGTCTCGGCTCAGAATACCCAATTCGACGTTCCGTTGCCTTCGCGTTCAACCACGTCTTCCAAGACCAACGGTCTTGTCTCTGCACATACGTGTCCTGTACTCAACGGGAAAACAAATAAGTCAGCCAAGGGGCGAGCTACTTCAAACAGACTGTCGTATGGAAAACTTGGAAATTCGGATCAATGCCTACCAGCGCCGAACGGAAAACCTGCGCCTAAGGGGAAAACAAATGGAGTGTCGAGTAAAAAGCCAAATGATAAGACGCCTACCAAGAAGCCACCCAAGCGGAACTGCCCTCGATCCTCGAGCGTGGAAAAGCCCGTTCCTGTCAAGGACCTGCAGATGAATGATTGGCCGCGAAACAGGAGAAAATTTACCGCGGGCCACCTCTCGTATTCAATCATGAAGGACCTGAAACGTCTCGCACTCGCCGAAAGAGACGACAAGCTGCAAATCCATCTGCCTGGCGGCATCCCGAGGTACGATTCTGAGAACAAGACATGGAGTTATGTCGACGAGTCTCTTCATCAGTGCCTCAGCAATCCAAAACGTCTGCTCGCATCCTTTCGCGATGAAATCGACGCTCGTTTCAATCCACTACCGCATCTTCATCCAGTAAAGATGCACCGCGCGTTTGCGGCATGGCAAGGCATCAATGGCGCACTTGTATTCGACAGCTTGTGGCAGAGTCTCGAATGCTTGTTCATTCCGCCTCCAGAGCTCAAAATTCGAAAGAGTTCAAAAAGCAAGCATTCCAAGGCACAGCGCTTGTCGCTCCATGGTGACAAATTGACTCATGTACCCGACGAAGACGCGGCACACATCATCATGATCTGTATCCATGCTTTGAGTGCGCTCGGTGACACCGCAGAAGATTGGGCCAAGCTTGCTGGTGAGGCTCCCAGGGCCGGGTTGATGTCCCTGGACCAACTCAGCTACGAGCCCGCGATCAGACTCGCCACTCGTATGGCTCGAGCAATCAGCGCTAGACAATGCTTCTCCGAGATGCTCGCGAAGACTACAGAGGTCTCATCACGCTCACCAATCCTTCTAGTCTACGCCCATGTCAGGAGGTGTTGTGGAGTGCGGACCGACAACAGCCTGGGATGGGATTGGGATCTATTACTAAATGGGAATCTGAGGCTGTGGTTAGATGAAATTCTCTTCAAGACGTGGCGCGGCGAGCATGAAGTCAAGCGATGGGATGCGTTT